AAACCTTGGATTAATTTTCCTGCACACTTAGCACAAAAATAGATTAAACTCTTTTGAATTATGGTTTAAAATCATCATCAAAATACAAAGAGAACCTAACATATATTACTACTTTGATTTGCACTTACCCAAAACCATTATATATACACATTTCCATGTAAAGAATCGACTCTTACTAAGAAAGATTCAACTCTCATTTTCAATAGTTGACTCTTAAGCAAAAAAAAAAAAAATTATATTTCTATGTGAAATGTTTCTGTAAACTCAAAAGTATATTCATATTATTTTTTAAAACAAATTAGAGATTTAAACCATTTAAATAAAGAGTGAATAACGTAATTATATTAATTAATGTGTTAAGTGTTAAGTAATATTTAATAAAGTAACAAAAATCAACTAAGAAATTAAATTTTAGAGATAAAAATAATTTTTTTTAAGTATATGAATCAAACAACGGCTGAAAATGGTAATTTGATTTATTGGCAATATGTTACATGTCGATGATGAGTTATACCATTTGAAATTCGACCAAGTTTTAGCAACATAGAATATGTTGTTGATTGGGGGGAACCTTTTCAGCAACATGATATATGATGCTGAAAGGTTTATAAATACTCCCACCTCAACCGAGCCGAGCAATGCTTTCATTTCTCCTCCCATTCTCTCCTATATGATATGCTCTCTACCTTCTCCATTTCTTAGCCTTTTTTCTCTCTCCCTCTCTCTCATTTTTGCACAAATCCTCCAATCTCACTCATTTTTTATTTATTAATTATCTATCAAGTATAATTTATTTATTATCTTTTAATTATCATAAAATTCTTAAACATAGATCAGTAATTAAATTAATTTTCATCAACTTCTTCATTCTCTTGAGGCATATATTGTGATTTTATTATATTCAATATTTTTATAAACATTAAATGATTAAATATGTTTCAATTTATTTGAAAGTTAATAAAATTATAAGTAAATATATATATAAAATAATTATTAATTTTAGTATTTTGTTTGTTTTGTAGGTAAATCTCATTAAAGTAAAAAAATTCAAGTTTGGTAAGTTCCTAAACTGACATTAATTGCCTTTAGATATTTATTTTAAATATATTTAGCT